TTACTGATAGCACTTCCACGAGTTGGGGCAAAAAGACCTTCCTGGAAGAGGATCTGGGCAGTTCACGTCCACAACCACCAGAATTAATTATAGGACCATTTTCATTCAGTTAAACAATTATTGTTAAGCCTCTATAAGGGAAACGCCTTAATAGGAATAGAGAATAAGAATAGAGAAAAAAAATTCCTTCAGCTTAGGGCCTAAGATCCAGGAGTTAAGAATCTGTTTGGGAATCTCTCAATTCTCTTGCCTGGGTTAGTAGGGAAATGAAGTGACATTTTACTGGAATGAGGGTAAATCATGCTCAATGAACCAAAGAGAGGGAGAAAGGCAAGTTGCTACAGTTTGTGAAGAATGATTTGAATATACCACTAAATAATGTTTATAAATTTTACTTTCCAAAACTGAGAGGAAATTAAGGTATCTTTGTGGATTGAGGGCATTATGCTAAGTAAAATAAGTCAGTCTGGGAAAGACAAATACTGTAAGATCTCATTTATAAGTGGAGTCTTAAAAAAAAAGAGAGAGAGAAAATAGAATGGTGGTTGCCAGCGGCAGGGGAGTGTGGGAAATGGTTGCATGGTTGCAGGTGGTCAAAGGGGTACAAACTTCCAGTTTTGAGTAAGTTCTGGGGATCTAATGTAGATCATGGTAACTATAGTCAACAAAACTGTGTTGTATACTTAAAAGTAGCTAAGAGAGTAAATCCTAAAAGTTCAAAATACACACACATACACACGCACACATGCACACACACACAAAGGAAACCACATGAGGTGATGGATATGTTAACTAATCTTATTATGGTAATCACTTTGCAATATATATCAGATTATCACATTGTGGACCTTAAACTTATACCATATTATATGTCAATTGTACATTTTTACATATATATATGTGTATATGTATATATAATGGAACTCTTGCTTTCCATCCCTAGTTCTCTTATTCCCAGTGATCCCCAGCTCTGTAAAAAAAAATCACCATTCACTCAGCTGCTCAGATCGAAAGCCAATTCTCTTGACTCTGATCTTCAATATTTATCCTTACTGTGACCTTTTCTCCTTACTCCCACTTGCTTCTTTTGCATGGGTAGTGTGTTGATGGGTTTCATGAGTTATATTTGTTATTCACCCAGAGAAATTGTTTTTAGTATGTAAGACCCATTTTTCCTTTTATAACAGTGTCTTCAGGGATGGGCCCTGAATACCAAACTGCTTTTATTGCTCTCATTCTCAAAGTAATAGAAACACTAAATCTTAGTCTTATCTTGGCCATAGGCATCTTAAAGGAGTTTGTCTTTTCTCATGCCTTCTATTTCCTCCCAAGTGTCTATTGGCTCACTCACTATTTCACTATTCATTCATTATTCCACCCTCTGTATTCTCACTCACAAAACACCCTTATTGATACTGCTCTTGATAAGGCCACCAATTATCTCTAATTGTTGAATCGAAAGGATTTTCTCTAGACCTAACTGTGCTGGACTGCCCATTGTTTTTGTTTTGCTTTGTTTTCAAAGATTTTATTCATTTATTCATGAGACACACACACACACACACACACACACATACAGAGAGAGACAGAAGCAGAGACACAGGCAGAGGAAGAAGCAGGTTCCATGCAGGGAGCCCGATGCTGGACTCCATCCTGGGACTCCAGGATCATGTCCTGGGCTGAAGGCACATACTAAATCACTGAGCCACCCAGGGATCCCTCGACTGCCCATTGTTAATCACTCATCTTTCCTTCCACTCTGGAGCTCATGGCCCATGCACCCTGCATTTCTCCCAGGGTGAGATGGGACTGATGGGTGTCAGAATTCTGATGTCTTTCCTTGCAGACTTCACCCTTAATGTTCCTCTCTTCCCATTCTACAACAATGGTTCTTAAACTTTTTTTCAGGGATACCTTTGGAAAGATGCTAAAAGCTATGGAACACTATACCCTGAAAAAAAAAGTCTATATTCCCATGAATATAGACACACAATATTTTAAGTAATTTCAAGAGGTTCCCTCATACCCTGAAGCCAAGTTGGACCCTCTACTCTACTTTCTCAACGTGGAGGATGCCAACCATTTAAAGTGTCATTCATATGATGCTGGCTTTCAAATGTGTACCTTGGCAGCAGCCATTTTCCAAAACCCTAATCTTACATCCCCAGTTTTCAATTAAAACATCTCTGCTTGGGGATCTCTGGGTGGCTCAGCGGTTTGGCACCTGCCTTTTTGGCCCAGGGCGCAATCCTGGAGTCCTGGGATCGAGTCCCACGTCGGGCCCCCGGCATGGAGCTTGCTTCTCCCTCTTCCTGTGTCTCTGCCTCTCTCTCTCTCTCTCTCTCTCTCTAAGTCTATCATGAATAAATAAATACATCTTAAAAAAAAAATCTCTGCTTATCCCAAAGTACCTTATGTTCAATGTGTCCAAAACTGGCCTGCAGTCCCTGTCTGATTACAGATGGATAACATTGCCATTCACCCTAGTCACCACGAAGAAACCTGCTCCTTTCGATCTCTTATGGGCTATCAAAAAAAAGGAAGGAAGAAGGGAAGGAAGGAGGAAGGGAGTGAAGGAAGGAAGGAGGGAAGGAGGAAAGGGGGAAGGAAAGAACGAAGAACGAAGGAACAAAGGAACGAAGGAACAAAGGAAGGGTACTCTTCTCCCTCCTATTGCAAGTGGTTGGGCCCATCTTTGGAAGTCAAGTTAAATGTTAGAAATGACAATAAGAACCATCCCAGTGTGCCCCTGCCCCGGTCGCCACCAATGACCGAGATCAGTGAGTGTCTCTCTGCTTTCATGCCCTCAGCTTGCTGTCGCGCAGATCTGCCCCCAAGGTCAGAAATACCCACACAGGGCTTCTCAAGAAAGCAAAGGCAGCCTGTAGAGAGGTGAACAAGCAGGGCCTTGGATTCCTCACTGCTGCTCTCTCTCAAACTTTCTTTCTGTTCCCCTTCCTCGTGCCAGCCCTCAGCAATGCTGACGTAAGAGGAGTTCGTGGCCCTGCTGGGGTGCCCAGGGGCTCAGGCGGTGAAGAGTCTGCCTTCACTCAGCTCATGATCCCGGGGTCCTGGGATGGAGCCCCCCCCCTTCGGGCTCCCAACAGAGAGCCTGCATCTCCCTCTCCCTCTGCCCCTTCCTCTGCTTGTGCACACTCTCTCTGTGTCAAATAAATAGAATCTTAAAAAAAAAAAAAAAAAGAAAACAACTTCACAAGTTCTGGTCCTTCTCATCTCTTACTTGGATTACTGGAATAGTCTTCTATTTGGTTTGCCTTTCTCCCACATTGACCTCTTCATCTCCACTGCAGCTTTTTTTACCTTCACCAACACCCTATGTTGCTTAAGATAGTACTTCCCCAAGTGTGTTTTTAAGAATACAAGTCTGTGATGTAATTGGTATCATATGAAAGAAAAAGTTTTTATGAGCAATTGAGCTAGAGAAAAGAAAAAATATTAATTAGGTTTAATTACTTCTCAGAGCCTTCAATATGCTAAAACACTTCTTGAAGTTCAAACTGGAGGTATGATATAAAGTTTTTGTCAAACTTTTGGCCACTAAAGTCTAGTGTTCTTTGGAATATATTTTGGATATAGCTAGTCTCTGAGCTGAAATTTACTTTCCTTGTGTTGGACCCTGGCTCACGGTGCCAACGTGTCCCGGTGGACGCCCCAGAGACTCAGACCCCAGACAGGCAGATGCAATTAGCAAGAGGGTTTATTGAACGTTTGCGCAAACGGGCTCTCCGCCTCCGAGGAGGAAAAGAGCCCCGATTAGCAATTACAGGGATCTTTTAAAGGCAAAAGGAAAGAAACCGCCTAAAGGCAAAAGAACCGCCGGACTCGCAGAGCATCCAGGTTGATTTCACAGAGGGTCAACTTGAACCTATTCAGGGACATTCCAATCAGGGTGTGGGGGGAAATGGTTTTCTTATTGTGAACAGAATGCTTTTAGTTGCTAAAATTTCAGGAAGGCGCCTGGATGGGCTGCCTCTGGGTTAGGGCTGGCCCTACTTACAAGGGGGGAGGTTTCTTCACCAGGACCCCTGGATCGCACCCTGAGCCAAAGGCAGATGCTCAACCACTGAGCCACCTAGGTGCCCCAAAAGACTCATTTCAATATTTCTTACCACATATATTAGTTTCCCATGTTGCTGGTATAACAATTTACTAAAAACATAGTGGCTTAAAACAACTCAAATTGATTATCTTACAGTTCTGGAGGTCAAAAGTGTGAAATCACTATCACAAGGCTAAAGTCAAGGTGTCATCCGGGCTTCATTCCTCCTGGAGGCTGTAGGTGAGAATCCTTGCCTTTCCATGTTCTAGAGGCTACCCATGTTTCTTGGCTTATGACCCCCTTTCATCTTCAAAGCCACCAATTGTACCATTTGATCCCTGCTTCCATTGTCACATTTCCTTTCCTTGACATTTCTGCTTTCCTCTCATAAGGACCCATGTGATCATAGTGAGTCCACCCACCTGGACATCCCAGGATAATCTCCCCTACTCAAGATCCTTAATTTTTTTAAAAGATTTTATTTATTTATTCATCACACACACACACACACACACAGGCAGAGACACAGGGAGGGGGAGAAGTAGGCTCCATGTGGGGAACCTGATGTGGGACTTGATCCCGGGTCCCTAGGATCACGCCCTAGGCTGAAGGTGGCGCTAAACCACTGAGCCACCCGTGCTGCCCAAGATCCTTAATTTAATCACATCTGCAAAGTGCCTTTTGTTCTGTGAGGTCTAGTGGATTAAGACATGGACATCTCGGGATCCCTGGGTGGTGCAGCGGTTTGGCGCCTGCCTTTGGCCCAGGGCGCGATCCTGGAGACCCGGGATCGAATCCCACATCGGGCTCCCGGTGCATGGAGCCTGCTTCTCCCTCTGCCTATGTCTCTGCGCCTCTCTCTCTCTCTCCCTCTGTGACTATCATAAATAAATAAAAATTTAAAAAAAATTAAAAAAAAAAAAGGGGGTCGTGTCCGCTGGCTTGTGGAGGCTGTGGGGTGTGTTGGGGAATGCGGTCGGTGCCATGTTCCTGACGGCTCTGCTCCTCCGCAATCGCATCCCCGGCAGGCAGTGGATCGGGAAGCACCGGCGGCCGCGGGCCGTGTCCTTCCAAGCGAAGCAGAACATGATCCGCCGGCTGGAGATCGAGGCAGAGAACCAGTACTGGCTGAGCACGCCCTACCTGTCGGCGGAGCAGGAGTACGGCCACGCGGCGGAGCGCAGGGCGGCGGCCTTCGAGGCCATCAGGGCGGCCAAAATGGCCAAGTTCCCCCCGCACAGGTTCGTGGCGGACCAGCTCGACCATCTAAACGTCACCAAGAAGTGGGTCTGATCCGGAGCCACAGATTCACAGGGCGGCCACCCACCTCCTGACCCGATTCTGGAACCTCTGAAGAGCGCTCACTTGATAGCTTTTGGTGCAGGCTTAGTGAACAGCAGACATGAGTGTGTGGTCTGCATGTGGGGTGTATGGGGCTCCAAACTCTATAGCCCAGGCTCTGGCGTAGTGTTTCCTTTCCATTACCCTAATAGGAAGATACAGGTATTTCCTAGGCCACAGAAGATACAAAGTGTATTTTGGATGAAAGTCTCAAAAAAACAAAAAAACAAAAAAAACTACGAACTGTGCTTAAGTATGAGATACTTGGTGGAGGCTTACCTTTCTTCAAAAAACAATTGCCTAAACGAAAGTGGGAAAAAATGAGCTTTTTCAGTTAAACATACTCCTAAAAATAGGATTTTCTTTTGGGATTGCTACTAAAAGTAGACATTTACGTGAAGTAAAAGATATTCATCAGAAAAAAAAAAAAAAAAAAAGACATGGACATCTCTGCCACACAAGAGGCTCCAGGCAGATTCTGGTGGTGGGAGTTGAAAAGAGTGGCATCAAATGGAGCAGCTGTGTCTACTACTCTCTCACTCCAGGTCTAGAGAGAATACTCAAGTCAACCTTGGCCCAGGGTTGCCTCCATAGTCTATCCTCCCATATAGTTTCAATTGTATACCATTCATGAGCCACCTGTGTCCTCACTTGACCTAAGGAGATGTGCTTAGACTAGAAATTTCACCATCTCTGCAGATCGGCAGTTCTCCAAATAAACTTCTGGAGCTTTGCCTCAGCCTGTTCAGCATATCATAGAAAGTCCTGAAGAGTGGCATAGAGGGCAGAGGGATTTAATTTAGCACTTACCTTGCTACACCCTCATCTTTTTAAACTTCACCCCTTAAGTTTGCATATACTATGGATTGTCCAGAGTTTAAAACTTCATTCTCTTACTCGTGGACTGCTTGAAATCAGGGCATCCTATGCTATCCAAGCTAGATCATCCTCATCCCCCGGATAGCCTCAGGGTCCCCAGGGCCCATGGCTCTACTTTGGGAAGGCAAAGAGAGCCACAGAGGAAGAGGGCCTGGCAACCTTCCTGGCTCACCCTTCATGCAGAATCCTTTCTCCTTTCCTTGCTTGGCCTTTGTTTTTGTGTCCTCATTCTGGTATTGGAGCCATTCCTCCTAGTCATGCTGTCTTGTGGTAGACCAATTTGGGTGCTAGGGGAAATTTTATATCCCAAATTTCTAAGGCCCCAAGATGTTAGGAGAGCTCAAAGTCCCTGTAGCTGGCACCTCCGCCACAAGATGTATTGTAGTCTTGGTAGAGAATTTCTTTATTGGAGGGCTCCCAAGGTGGAGATAACACTTGCTGTTGAGTAAAGTTAGAAGCACTGCATAATGAACTGGGTAGCTTTATTTCTGAATTAGACTGTCCTACTGGCTTTAAGAGTGATTTAAAAACTCCAAGTTTTCAAGATATATGACAAGAATTTCTCCCACTGAATCCATTTAAAGGGATGACAGGAACCCAGATGAACTTATATTAGGTTTGTCTTATTCAGCATATCTAACACACGAATTTCCTTGATGAAGTCTTGGTGTGAATACACTTCAAGTAATTATCAACAAACAGTTCCCCCACCTGCAGATTCACTAAAAATTACCCATTATTTCTATTAACATTCTTTTAACATTTCCCCAATTTATGTCTGTTGGGAAATATACTGGAAATCTAGTTCAAGTGACTTCCCCTTCCAAATAGCACTCCCTCCCTCCCCATTTCAGGCCACTTGATCACTTTAATGGGTATAAGGAATTGATTTGGGACTGGAAAGATTTCCTTTTGAGGAAACAATTGGCCAGTGTAGGGGCACAGACCATCTGGGTCCAGTACAGAGGCAGCCTTCTTCCAAGAAGAATGCTGAGCAGACAGACATCCTGACCCTTGCTGCTCCAGTCCTTGTTAGGATTCTCTGTTCCAGGGTCCTGTAATGGAACTGCAGGTCAGCCCTGTTCTATGACCGGTGACTGGAGCCTGATTCCTTGTGGAAGCTGGAGTCCAGCATTATTTCCTGCTACCCACCTCAGCCTGGGTCACTGGCAAGGGAGCAGAAAGATACCTGAATATGGGACTATTTGGAGAATAGGCAGAAAGCAACAGAACTAGGGAAGTTATCTCTTGTTTAGTGAGCACTGCTGTGTGCCAGGTATTGTGTTGGATGCTTGGCATAACTAGTGTAATTTCACTGACTATTCTCAACAGCAACATGACGTGGGTGTTACTACCCCCGTTTTGTAAGGAGACTAAAGTTCTATATTGTCAGGGATCCAGCAAGAAACAGATGGCACACTCAGGGGGGTTAACTGAAGAGAGTTTAAGGAATGGACTATTTACAGAGGTATGAACAGAGGTAAGGGAAGTAACAAGAGATAATGAAGTCCTGAGGGATTAGCAATAGCTAGAAGCCATCACCCCTGGGTCTCAAGAGAAAGAGTGGGAGAGAGTTGTTTGGAACATGAGAGCTGAAGCTGAAAGAGGGTCAAAACACTGTAGTACCACAGGGCAGAAAGGTGGAGGGTGTGGGGAATTACTACCTTGCACTCTCTTTTCCCACTGCTCCTACCCAGTGGTTTCTCTACCACCACTTTCCATTGGCCAAACCCAACCAGAAGCCAGGGAACAGGGATGCCTGCATGATGCAGTCTATAGAGGTCAGCCTCTTGAGGGGCAAATGGAGACCAGCCTGCAAATGTTCTGAGAGATTAAATAGTTTAACCCATGTGCTGAAATGTAAACCTTGGTCTTCCTGAATTTAGAGTACCATACTACTGTCCTCTCATTATCTACATTATCAAGAATAGTGGCTAAAAATCAGAAGGAAAGATAAACAAGTGAAGAAACCTCCCCCCTTGTAAGTAGGGCCAGCCCTAACCCAGAGGCAGCCCATCCAGGCGCCTTCCTGAAATTTTAGCAACTAAAAGCATTCTGTTCACAATAAGAAAACCATTTCCCCCCACACCCTGATTGGAATGTCCCTGAATAGGTTCAAGTTGACCCTCTGTGAAATCAACCTGGATGCTCTGCGAGTCCCGCGGTTCTTTTGCCTTTAGGCGGTTTCTTTCCTTTTGCCTTTAAAAGATCCCTGTAATTGCTAATCGGGGCTCTTTTCCTCCTCGGAGGCGGAGAGCCCGTTTGCGCAAACGTTCAATAAACCCTCTTGCTAATTGCATCTGCCTGTCTGGGGTCTGAGTCTCTGGGGCGTCCACCGGGACACGTTGGCACCCGTGAGCCAGGGTCCAACACTGGGATCAAGTCCCACATCAGGCTCCCCATAGGGAGCTTGCTTCTCCCTCTGCCTATGTCTCTGCCTCTCTCCCTGTCTCTCATGAATAAATAAATAAAATCTTAAAAAAAAGAAATGATTCTTTCAAGCTTTTAAAGCCCCAGTTAAAAAAAAAACCCTGATGAGACAGCAGCACCCCAATCTCTGTTCAATGATACCATTTTACTGTGGGAGATCTCACTTGCAAATCTGGAAGTGCCAGGGCTGTCCATTCACATCTGGACTTTTGTTACTATCAGGGACACCATAGGATGTCTCAGTGATAGGCACAGCTATCCTTCTTTATGGGTTGATACTCAGCTCTGAAGCAGATGTGTTTCTGCTATAAGGAAGGATCCCCTTTTGGAGAGAAAACCCCAGGCTTCTCCCTTACCAATGATGGGATTAGTTAAGTGATCATGGTGACTCCACAGGGTGCTGGTAGGAATAAATGGTCAGTGTACATAATTTCTACATAAAAAACAACAAGTGCTAAATTATATATTCAAGCACTCCTGGAGGTGGAGATTAGGAAATGGAAATACTAAAAATATATCCCGGCCTAACATTAATGCTCAATGTTAACATTATTAGAGCCATGTATATTATTCCAAGTTGAACAATGCAGGGTGTTATGATTCCTTTATTATACAACTTTTTGTTTTCTTTTTTTTTTTTTCAACTTTTTGTTTTCTGTCAAATTAATTATTGCTTTGATTTTGTTTCTTGAGTTTTCTAGATAACCATCATAATGTCACATTTAAACTTTGGGACTGAAATATAAATCTCCACTCAAGATGGTCAAACACATTAGGCAATTTACATGCTCTATTTTTTCTTCACTACATCTCTCCTGAGTCTCTCTGTCTTCCTAGTCACCTGTGGACTAGTTCCTTTTTAGGCTTGCCACAAGATCTCTTATGCTGGATTAGCTCTACTTTAGACTGACCAAGAGGTGCCCTCAAGGAACCTGCCTTGGTGTATGTGCCAGTTCTGATTCTTTTCCTGACAAGACTTTATAACTTCAATTTCGTATAGGGAACATTCTCAATCAAACTATATTTAACCCCAACCCCAGATCAACCAGTATTTTTAAACTGGTAGTGAGTCAAGTAGATTTGGCAAATAAAGATAGTTGGCAAGATCTCAAGGTGGATTTAAGTGAACAAAAACCTGATAAGAAGTTGTTAATGGTGCCCTGACAGTAGCCCTGGCCCCTATTACATACAAGGGGGATCCAGCCACACCAGTCCCTGGCCAATCACCCAAAGGGGCAAGTGTAGTGAGCACTTTGGCCGAAGAAGAGAGCCACAGTATCAACTGCATTCCTGAAACTAGATTAAAAAATGAGACTATGGATTAAAAATAATGATATCATGTTGAGTAATTGTTTCCCTATTTTCGTAGTTTCTTAGTCAATTTTTCTAGATAAAGAATGTATTCTTTTTAAGATTTTTTTTTTTTTAATTCATGAGAGACACACAGAGACAGAGACACAGGCAGAGGGAGAAGCAGGCTCCATGCAGGGAGCCCAATGTGGGACTCGATATCAGGTCTCCAGGATCACGTCCTGGGCTGAAGGCGTTACTAAACCACTGAGCCACCCGGGCTGCCCAAGAATGTATTCTCAAATGGTTCATCATTCTCCAAAAGTCACAGTACATAAAAGAGATGTAGTATATTTATGATATTAAAATCTTATGGAGAGAAGAGCAATTTGGAAAATTTGTCAAAAAAAAATTCCTTAGAAGGGCAGCAATAACAATTAAAAAAAGATTGAGGAAATAATCTTCTAGAGAAAGTTGGTTTTGGTTATTGATGTCCTCATAATACACTTTTTAATGTATTTAATTTGGTAATTAAAATTTGAATCAGATGGAAAAGTATTTTCTTTTTTTTTTAAGATTTTATTTATATATATTTATGAGAGACACACACAGAGAGAAGCAGA